AGGGCGCTGGGCACCGGGCACCGGGCACCGACTCCCGCTGGCTCCGGCACTGCTTTCCTGAGTGCCACTGGGCACATCCCTTTGCCTCTGCTTGCTCAGCTGCTGAATGGGGATTCGTGAGACTTGCCTCGGTGAAGGGATCTGTGATGCGCGCGCACTGTTGGGGCTGCGGATGCATCGTCTGGCCTGGCACGGCCCTCTGGTGCCGACCCCCGGCTGGCTGGGCCGCTGGTGTCGCTGGCTCCGGCACTGCTTTCCTGAGTGCCACTGGGCACATCCCTTTGCCTCTGCTTGCTCAGCTGCTGAATGGGGATTCGTGAGACTTGCCTCGGTGAAGGGATCTGTGATGCGCGCGCACTGTTGGGGCTGCGGATGCATCGTCTGGCCTGGCACGGCCCTCTGGTGCCGACCCCCGGCTGGCTGGGCCGCTGGTGTGTGCCCTGAGAAACTGAGCTTTGACTACACCGTGCACATGCGCTGGCATGAGGCGGCTGGTGACGGGTGCTAGGTGGCCTGCGGTTCCCGGAGAGCTCTGACTTCAGTCTCGCTTTGTGCGTGTCCCTGCAGGCCAGCGACGTGCCCCAGGACAGGGGCCAAAGCTGTTTGTCTGAACCTGCCTGCACCAGCCCTGCACCCGAGGAGTGACTTCAAGGGGTGCTCGCAAGTCTCTAGGTCCTTGCTTGGTAGGGCAAAGGGGTGGGCTCATGATTGCTACTAGACAGTCGCGTCACTGAGAGAACTGTGCTTGGATATTTATGTTTCTTTATCAGTTTTGTCCTTTTTTACACCATCAGGCATGAGAGCTGTCCCCAGCAGGCACCCTTTCTTTTCTCAGAGTGGCATGTGTCCCCTGGGAAGTGCAGCACTGACAGACTCAGACTAGGCATGTATTTATATTCTCACAAGTGTCTTGGGGCAATAATCTGAGCCTGCTCGCTTCCTGGGACACCCTGTGCTTTCTGGTAGTGATGACTGAGAGATCTCTGTTACCATGTTTCAGGCACAGCGATGGTATTGGTGTCTGGCTGGTATGGTGTACATGGAAAGTAAACCTCTCTGACCACTGGGTTTGGACCAACATGGTTACTGTGGTTAGATAGTGTGTCTTGGGGTCTGCGTTGGTGTTTTTAGTACCAAAATACTGGTATTTGTTGTAGTTGTTTAGATTTAGATTTATATCGTGCTGTGTCCGTGCTTACTCAGTCTCACATGTAGACATAGTTTGCTGCCTTATACCAACAAAAGGTGTTCCCTACCCATTGGGTGGGGTAGGCAGAATTAGCTGCAGTTGTGGCTGTACTGGAAAGGGATGTCGTGCTGCTTTGACTGTCCTGGTAGACCTGGAGTAGCATGATTTCCAAGTGTAGACAAGCCAGGAGTGTGCAGTGATGCTTCTGGTGTAAATCTGGAGCCAGTGCTCCAGGAATCTTGCAGCCAGTGCTCATGGCTTCCTGTGCACATAGGCCAGTTCTCTCATATCCCTGTGCCTCCATGTCCCATGTGGAGAAACCCTAAAGACAGTCTGTATTTGCCTCCCAGGGAAACTGGGCAGTTTGATCCAGACCTTGGATGAAAGGGATTCTAGCCAGGTTATACAAATGGCTGCAGGGGATGGAGCTGTTATGGTGCTAAGACCTAAGTTAAGTCTGCTCAAGCCCTTAGGTGCAAAATTGCGGAGTGGAGCTCTGTGAGCAGGAGTGTTTGCAGGCCAAGGTGTCCCTCATACCACCTGAGGAAGCTGTAAGAAGTTGGTTGGGCAAGCAATGCCACATACTGGATGGGTTTCTGGGTGTGATTTCTTTAGAGAAACTATCCCAATCTCTCATCTGTTCCCACCCTTGCCAAAAGGGATCTTTCCCTTCCTGCATAGGTAAGGACTTTCCCTCTGAACCAGGGCTGGGAGGGTGGGCTGGCTGGCCTGATGGCTGCCCTGCAGGTTGTGGGGCGTTTCCTCCTTAGTAATGGCTGGTTCTGCTTGTGATAGGGCTAGTCTTTTGTGATGCTTTCCCTCTGCCAGTGGGGAGGAGTGCAGAGTGTCTTGCTGGGAGGCTGCTTGCGCAGTGCCAAGCCCTGCTTTATGGTACTTGATATGCAGTGGACTTTGACCTTAATGTCAACCTTTTTCCAGCCAGCATGCATTGCTGGCATCTTCTAAGCAGTACCAGAGCCTCACAACACCTCTGAGTGCATGAGTGGTGGAGGATGAGCCCCTATTTTGCAGATAAGTAAGCCATGACCAAGGTCACACATCGAGCCAGTGACAGAACTGCCTGCTTCTGGAGATCCAACAAACTGCTCTGAGCTGAAGCAGAGTGTCTTAGCAGAGTCTGCAGCTTGGCAGAAGCTCACTTGTCCAACCAGTTCCCCTCGCACTGTGAAAACCAACACTGCTTCCCTGGTTTGCCTCCAAAGTCAAATCCAAAAACACACAGAAAAATTGCTGCTGAACTACTGGAAGGCAAAGCCAGCCTTTCTTTCCCAGCCTGGGAGCCAGTCCATCTTCTGAGGTCTCAGGTATTATATCCCGTGTGTCCTGACTCCCTGTCCGGTGCAGACTTCCAGAAATGATGGATCATGGGAGGGGCCCCAAAGGAGCACTGCTGTCTGAAAGTGCTCTGCATCCTCCCTTCAGGGGTCTTGGGTTGGGCTCCACAAATCATCTCATGGTTTGTCCAACCTTTGGGGCAGTGCTGGTCTTTCCTTTGTTGTCCCATGCAGTTCCAGAGGCTTTGTTGGGAGAAACAAGTAAGTGACGCTTCCAGTGGAGGGTCTCAGAGCGCGGGCAGATAGTCACGACCAGACCTCCTCTATAGCCCTCTGAATTAGAAACAACAGACCAGCTGCTGAGTTTGCCTGAGGTTGACAGGGAACTGATGGACTCAAAGCTGTCGCTGAAGGGTCAGTATTGTTTGGGGGCAAGAGTGGGGCCAGGCCCTTGTGTGACGTCATACAGCCTTAGGGTGTGGGATGCAGCATTGTAAGAGAGGTCATGGGTGCTTCACGGGTGTTGTGGATCCCATCGGGATGTTGGTTCCAAGGTCTTTGCCAAAGTGTAACAGGGTAATTATAAGCTCTTGCTGTCATGCAGCTGCTGCCTTCCAGTTGAAGGTGCCTGTGTTTCAGCTGTGATGCTTCGTGGTCCCTGTATAGAGATTGGGTATGGGTTGTTTCTGCTTGTGCAGCACATGAGGCTGGAGGCATGGATCAGAGAGCACTTGTCCTTGATGTGAGCACCCCTGTGGAGCACAGCAGGGTGTTGTGAGTCTGCAGTCCAGGTGTGCTGGGTGCTCTGAGATGCCAGAAGAGAAGAGGTTTCAGAGGATCAAAGCACTCTTCTCATGTCCTGAGTCTTTCTTAAGGGATCTTGGCCAGTCCAAGGGGGAGGGGTGCAAACAAGCTTCCTCTGTCTTCTTGTCTTCCACTGATTAAATTATACCTGGGTGGTACTGACCTGGGAGCTTTGGCAGGTGTGGTGTTACTCCATTGACCTCTCGGTTATGGGCCCAGCATGCTCCTGCTGAGCTTTGGCCTGTGTGTGAACATGGTAGCTTTGCACTTAGTGTGACGTGGCTTGGTCAGTGCTGATTCCAGACAGGATGCTTCCCTGGCTGTGGAGAAATATGGCAAATCTGACAGTTCATGACTGGGCCTAGTGGGGAGATGCGATAGTGGCAGTGCTTGGCTCTGTCACTAACTCTGCTGGCAAGGCCAGCAGCTGGATTTTAGTAAGGGTCAGGTGGTTTTGAGACCAGGAATATTGGTACCGAGTGAGAAGGTCTCATGTTTTAAGGCACAAGCTGAAAGAAATCCCAGCACTACATAACTGTCCTGAGTGTCTCGTGGGCACCTAGGACCCAGGCAGAGCTCCTTGGGGCTGTCAGCTGATCCAGTGCAACAGGTTCTGGGTTCCAAGAGACGGACATGGGAATTGCCTCCATGGGACAGATTGGGACATTAGCTTGGCATCCACACCCTGCAGGAGGAGAAAAGACACTGCTGCGCTACTGGGGAAGCCTAGAGGGAAAGGAAAAAAAGAATTCCTTCCAGGTCCCAGCCAGCAATCAGCTCATGTCTTGGAGCAGGGACTGACACCGCACAGTGACCTTGGCAGCAGGCATTCTTCCTTCTTTCTGCATGCCATCCTTTTAACTGCAGCCTGGGGCTCCCTAGGGCTGGGATGGCTTTTCCCTGAAAAAGTCAGACAACATAGGTAGATGAATGGGGTTGACCTGGTGTCCAAAATCCTCCCGTAGGAATGAATGGGGCTGACCTGGTGCCCACAATTTCTGCTGCCCAGGGTTTGGCTCCCAATTGTCCACCCAGGACACAGTTGGGTAGGAAGGCACAGAGGACCTGTATCACCACCAGAGGCTTAAGCCTCCAAAAACAGCCTCTCCCACCCAGGCTTAAGCCTCCCTGGCTTCCACCCCTCCCCCACACCTTTTCCCAGTGCCCCCTCTCCATCAGCAGCTCCAGGCACCTGCCTCCCTGCCTCTGTGGGGAGGGCCAGGCCCCCCATTGAAATGCATAGGTGGACCCTGGTGCTTGAGAAGCCCCCCATTGAAATGCATGGGTGGACCTGGTGCCTGGAAAATTCATGTGAATAGGTGCTCAGTGAATAGGTACTTAACTTTTCCTGGTGACAGGCACTGGCCTGGGGGCCAGCCTTCTTTGTGCACAGTGGTCTGGGCTTTGTCTAGGAGCTCTGCCTTCTGCCCCTGACATGCTTGCATAAAGGGAGGGACATTGTGCTGGCAGTACCCTGTTCAGTTGGAGGGGTGGGTTGAGGTGTCCTGGGAGCCTGTTATTTCACACAATGCCTGTTATTTCCTGACCGGCTCAGCTGGTCCATAAAGGAGCTAGGTTTTGTTCCGGTGCTGCTCTCCCACCCCCAGCCCCTCTGAGATGATAATAGATTTGTACGTGGTGCACAAAGCCCTCTTCAGGATGAGTGTCCCAGGGGAGCAAGGGGGAGCCTGTACTTGGGACTGGAAGGCTGAAGTCAGCCTTGGATTTGGACTCTGGTGGGGAGGCTCATCCTTAGTGCTGGGAAGGCATTTGGAAGACCTGTTTTGCTCCTCACACAGTGATGAGCACTGAACAAGAGGTTACATACTAACAGGGTGAAACCAGAGAGGTAGCTGGTATGTCCCTGGGGGGTATCTGTGTCATCAGATCCTGCCTTCTGGAGCTCCCTGAGAACTACGAGTGTCTCTTGTGCGGCAACCCTGCAAACACTCACGTCCCTGCTTCACTCCATAGGCACATGCGGTCAGCTGGCTCCAAAGAGGCTGTCCACCTGGGTGAAGCGTGTTCAGCATTCGGGACCTGGTTTGCAGGCTGAGAACTTGCAGGATGGGGCTGAGCCACTTCCTTGGGGGTTCAGGAGTGGGAGAGGGTGTGGATTGCAAAGACAGCTGGTGTAGAAGCAGGCGGTGGAATGAGGTTGTGCAGGGAGCGTTGTGAGTGATCCCACTCCAGGTTCTTTCCCAGTCTGTTCTGCTAAGTCCGAAAAGCGTGTGTTGGGCAGCTGGGCTTTTGCCTTTGTAGCTTCCCAATGACAATGACAATGGGTCAAGAACAGAAGTGTGATGATAACCAAAAATGCTGGTGAACGTAGGCACAGCCTGACTAGCTTGTGCCTAGCCCAGCCTCCTCCTGTCTTTGATACTGACAGCAACAGAAGTTGTAAGGAATTCTGCAGTTGCCAGACATAATGATATAACCCTCCCCCTGTCCTCACCTCTGTCCTAAACCAAAATACTGGATCCATACACCTCCAGACTTTTGGAGATTCAGAGTCTGGATTGGGTTTGGAGCCTGCAGCTGACTTGTTGCTCAACTGAGTAGGGCCCAAACATCTCACCAGCCTCTTGTTGTATTGTGTCAGAGTTCAGACCCTGTTTTAAGTCTATAGACCCTTTTTCTTGCCACACAGCACTGCTCCAGAGGTATCTTCTCCTTGTTTCCCCCTCAGAGGTGGCTTTCTCAAAGCTGAGTTGTGATTCAGTGCTAGACCTGGGACTTTTAGTTCCTAGGTGTGTGCTCAGAGTATCAGCCCCCACCTTTCCATCCAGGAGCACTGCAGCACCTGCCATGCCCCTAGCAAGTTGCTGCAGCTCCTGTTTTTCAGTGCGTCTCATGATGTATCACCAGGAGCAGAAAGAAGACAGCAAGGTAGGGTCCTTCTCTCCAGTTGGCATTCATGAATGGAGCATGGCAGCTCTTTCTCTCCTCCAAATGGGTGGAACTGAGAAGCATCTTTCAATCAAACATGCTTTTGTGGACAGTGCCAGCTTGTCTGCCTGCCAGTCCTTTCCAAAGGAGACCGTGTTCAGTTTCAGTCTGTGCTCTCTGTTCAATGGGCTTTGAAAGATGCCCAGCTCCGTGAGCTGTCTGTACAATGGGACCTCAGTATGGGGAACCTGGGGCGGGGCATTTTCCCTGAAGTTCTGCAGCAGGGTGGGAAGGGGAGCTGGGCTAAATACACTGATTGTGTTGTATTGTGTGTTAGTACTCATGGAAGAGGAAAATGCTGTTCAGAGGGGGGCTAGGAGGACAGTGCCACGCATCACCCCACACTTTACAGCACTTTGCACCTACACCTAATATTCCAGGCAGGCACCTGACTTGCAGAAGGCATTTAGGAGCCTAGAACCTCTGAGGGAGACGGGTGGGGGTCAGGTGAGGGCGTATCCACTTTGGCACCACATTTTTTGCTGTGACGTGGTCTTCTGGGGAAGGCCGTAGCCAGGGCAGTGAAGGGGGCAGGAGGGGTGGGAGCAGAGTAGGAAGTGGTCGGTCAGTAAAGCTGGTTTTCTTTCTTTTTGCTTGTATTCTAATAACTCTGCCCTTCCAGCAGAGAGCTGGATCCTGCTGGTGCGGCCCTAATCACAGATTGCAGCACAGGAATGGGAGGAGCTCGTCACCCAGTCAGACTGGCTAAACTCCTTTTATTAAGCAATCCTGTGCTCTCTGCACACAACTCTACCTTTTGACTCACCATAGAAATTTCCCAGTGCTTATGAGTCGTTTGGTGTTGTCTGTATTGTGGCAGCACCTGCAGCCCCCGTTGCTGATCAGGGCTCGGCTGTGTTTTGTGCTACACAAACATATGGCCCAAAGATGAAATGCCGGTTCTTCCTAAAAAATGAGGTCATCTGCCTTCCCCTCTCCCACCCCCTCCCCTTGCTTGCCTGATGATCTCAGTACTGATGGTTTGCCCTGTGGTGGCCCCAGGTGCACTGCCTTTCAATCCAGCCAAACTCTTCTGCAGGCATCCACTGATTCACACCTCTGTGAATTACTGGGAGGCAAAAATCGTGACCGAGCTGCCAGGTGAAATGGCGAGGGCAGCCCGTGTGTGCCGTGTGAGTGGAGCCTTGATAGGAAAAGCAGGCGCTGGGGTTCACTGCTGTCTGCTCTGGGAGGGACATGACAGTGCCTTTTTAGAGACTTTCTCTTCTTGAATGATAGAAGACCTTAAGAGGGAAGGTGTTCAGGGTGCCACTGCAATTTCCAGGTAGGAGCATAAGCTTTTGTCACAGGCAGTGAGTTGTTCAGGCTCACTGTCTCCCGTTTCTTTGGGTCACTCAAGTTTTCAGTATTGAAGGAGATAAGACAACTCCTAGGAGGAGGAAGTAACAGTGGGGTCAACAATAGGGCCTTGCTTCAGATTGGGTGCTCCTGGGGAATAATGGTGAAATGGGGTCCCTGGCAGAGCTGTGCTGTTTGCAGGAGGATGCGTGTCTGGGGAACTGTGTCCCTGGCTTTTCACAGAGGCTGCTTTTGATGGGAGAACAAACAGCCTTTGTCAGTGCCTGTGTGCTTTGCTGAAGACTCCCCAGAGCTGCTGCAGGCTTCAGCAGCACAGAGTGGGGCTTTCCAGGCTTACACGGGTGCTGCAGTGGCCCCTCGGCCCCCAGTGTGTACTTGGGTGCTGCTGTATTGTCACACGGTTGCAGTAAGGGGGTGCAGACCTCTTACAAAGAGAGTTCAGTCGGGGATCAATTGCTGAGGGCCTGTCTGCTGGCACTTGGATAATGCAGGCTGCTCATGGTGTCTATTCTAGTAGACTGATAGTCTAAGTCAGAGCTTTCCAAACTTTTCATGTTGGTGACACACTTTTTAGACATGCATCATTTCGCGACACAGTAATTCAGTTCCGGGGGAGGGGCCAAGGGAAGCAGACGCGAGTAAGGGAGCTCCGCGGTGCCCTTCCGCAAAATTTTCTGCATTTCGTGCGACACACCTACACACTGCCGCCGACACACTAATGTGTCGCGGCACACAGTTTGGAAAGCTCTGGTCTAAGTGCTTGGCTTGGCTCTGAGATACCCAGAGAGACTTCATTTTCCCTTTGCTAAACTCTTGGTTCATCTGTTACTTCCAGATTCCTTTGAAGTCTCCAACATCAACTGGGTCTGAGGAGATCTGGAGACCAAGCCCAGGTCTGCCACTCATCGGCTGTGTAACCTTAGGCAAGTTGCTTGACTTCTTTGCCTTGGTTTTCTCTCCTGGTTTCTGCCTTGTCAGTCCTTGGGCCTGGGACTACCTCTCATGTCATTTGCACACATGACCTAGGAGGGCGGGATTGCAGTCTCCAATGGGCAACTGTAACTGTGATGTGTTTTGGGAGGCCGTATTGTTTCTTTGCTTTGACCCCCACCCCATCCCCAGACTGCCGTTCTACATATTGATTCATTTGCTGAGTGTTTGCTTTTTGCTACGTCTCCCCTTGTGAATCCATGAAGTTGGTCACTGCTCTCCTGTCCACGCAGTTCAGAGTGGACTTTGGTCCCTGGTTGCCCTGCGCCAAAATGATACTAGGATGTGCAGAGGCTGGAGGGGTAGGCATTGCTTGTTTGCCTTTTCTTTTTTTAATTAAAAAAAGTCTGTTTGGATAATTTGACCCACATGTGCCCACCCCAGGTCTCTGTGGGTTGGTTCTGAGATGTTTCTCATGCACACCTGTCTTTGCAGCTTGAACTGCGGTGTCTCTGTTCTGGCAGAGAGGAGAGCGCTCACATCCTGCAGGGCCCCGGCTCCCCGCAGTGCCAGCATGTCACAGAGACGCTCCGAGGGCGAGGACAAGGTCTTTCTCGTGGAGCACAAGTTCCGCTCAGAACTGCACATCAGCCCCTCTGGGCACCGCAGATCCCTGCTGGCGATGGACAATGCCTCTTTCTCACCCCAGCCTTCCCCGTCCCCGTCCCCGTCCCCCTCCTCAACTGACTCCCGCCGCATCATCCTGAGCACAGAAAGCCCAGCTGCGCTCAAAGTGGGCACCCAGCAGATGATCCCCAAGAGCCTGGCTATCTCATCCAGGCCCAAGGCCCCGGCTCGCCACCAGAGCTTTGCCACAGTCCCACCAAACAGGGAGATACCTCGATGCGACCCCAAACGGATGTCGGCCCCCAGCATCTCCCTGGATGAGGTGGAATTCGATGCCGGGGGCATGCTTAAGCGCAATCTGCGGAACATGTCTTACCGGGCAGCCATGAAGGTGCAGGGGGGCAGTGAGGAGCCTGAGCCTGTGAGAAGTATCGCCAGCCTGAAGCCCTTGGAGGAGGGCAGCACGCAGCCAGCACAGAGCCCAGGCAGGACCAAGGTAGGTCCCAGTGCACACAGCCGTTCCCCTCCTCAGTTGATGGTGTACGTCCATGTGGGGCTGAGGGAACAGCCTTGGCGCTGATCATGGGAAGGCTTCTTCAGCTGTGGGACCTCATTCTCAAGCTGAAGGCCAACGGGCAGTCCCTCGGCCACTGGGGACCTTGTGTCTGTGTGGGGCAGGAGCGCTACAGGACTGGGAGTTGCTTCCTCCAATGGCCAATTTCCCAGTGTAGACAGATTTGCCCGGAGAAACCAGTTAATTGAGGTTTTAAAATAGTGCAAGACCCTCAGCTGCTCTTAGTCCACCCATTTCCAGCGGGTTAGTTGCCATTATCGCACTGGTTAGGGAAGAGCAGATGATCCCTCTTGCTCATGCAGCCACTATTGTCCCATGGGTGGAGGCTGCTGGGAGATGCCCCTGCCTGCCATCTGACTTGTACACTTGTGATGAGCAGCTGTGCAAAATGGGGATGGGCTTCGGAGTCATCTCTGGGCCTCTCAGGACAGCCCAAACTCCATATCTGAGCCTGCTGCTGATGTGCAATCCAACATGTTGTTTGAAAGTAATTGCATGATAGAGAGAGTCCAAGTCTGATGCCAAGCCCTGCCTTTGGATTTGCGTGCACTCTCTGAAACTCCTCCTTCCCCCACCCTGTGTCTTGTTAGCACGCTCAGCTCCAGCAATACTTGAACTCCACTCTGTGCAGATGGTGCTAATTGTTTCAGCCTGGACCTTGTCTGGCCAGATGGGGTCAAGAGGCCAGAGCACAAAAACTGATTTAACTCCCAGGCAGAATTCAGGCTTCTGGTGCATCTCCAATATGCAGCTCCCTCCTCCCCTCCCCCTCCAAAGGGCTGCTGTGTGTATGCTGAGCTGAGATTAAATGAAGTGTTCAGGAGAACTGCCATGCCTCCCCCTCTACTGTTGGACAGCGTGGAGGGGAGATCCAACTCGATCTGCCTAAGCGGGCTTATGCAGAATGAAAGTATAACTCCTAAAGGTCTGCATTAGTGACTAAACTTGCCTGATGTTAGAATGCAGGGAAGAAACAACCTGCACATGACTGATTTGCTTCTTGAGCTAGCCTGCTGTGAAAAAGCTGATCTGTTGTTTGCATTAGCTCATGTCCTGCAGCAAGTCCTTGGCTGGCTCACAGATGCATCTGAGCCTTGTGGCTCGTGTATTATTTGTCCTGAATCATTTTTCACTTAGTGTACCTGTGACCCCCCCTCTGGTAGTAGGGCTGAGCGGGGTTCATTGGTCACCAAGCACACCAATGTGTTCAGAAAGGTGGGATGTGCTTGCTGACTACAGCAATGGGAGGATCAGTGTCATTCAGCCCCTTAGCCAATTCACCACCCCACCAGAGCTGATGCTGCTGTTCTCAAGAACCACCTCAATCATACATTTGTTGGCAGGATTGGGTCTCAGGCTTGCATCCTCTGAGAGAACATTTAGACTTTTCAAGATTTCATAGATTTCATAGATTTCATAGACATCAGGGCTGGAAGGGACCTCGGAAGATCATCGAGTCCAGCCCCCCGCCCAAAGGGCAGGAAGGCAGCTGGGGTCATAGGATCCCAGCAAGATAAGCATCCAGTTTCATCTTGAAGGTGTTCAATGAAGGCGCTTGAACCACCTCCGGTGGCAGGCTGTTCCAGACCTTGGGGGCTCGGACAGCAAAGAAATTCTTCCTTATGACTAGCCTGAAACAATCTTGAAGTAGTTTGTGACCATTCGACCTCATCATCCCTTGGGGCGCTCTGGTGAACAAACGTTCCCCCAGATACTGGTGGTCACCCCTGATAAACTTGTAGGTGGCCATCAGATCACCCCTGAGCCTGCGCTTTTTCAGGCTAAAGAGCCCCAGGGCTCTCAGCCTGTCATCGTAGGGTCTGCTTCCCTGACCTCTGATCATGCGCGTGGCTCTTCTCTGGACTCTCTCAAGCTTCTCCACATCCTTTTTGAATTGTGGAGCCCAAAACTGGACACAGTACTCCAGCTGCGGCCTCACTAAGGCCGAGTACAGGGGGAGAATGACGTCCCGAGATTTGCTTGAG